CCAACATCATCTTATTGTTTGTTTTGTCTGTACCATTTGTTCAATCGTGTAATTCTCAAGTGGAAACAGTTGGAGCTTACAAGCTCTCCGTCCAAACATCCCCGCACATACAGACCTGATAGGTGTTCGTGTGACATCAGAGCTTTGGGTTTAAGACGGATAATGGCCTCTCATTTAGAAGTGCACACCCAGCCGAATCCCACTACAGTGACACAGATGTCAAATCAAGTAAGCACTGACATCCCAGACCTTTTTAGAAATCCCCTTTCATCCCTGACCAACACGTTCCGCTGGTCTGATGTGACATCCGAAAATAGCTCTTATCCATTTAACGGCTCAAAAAGAAAAAGAGGAAGATATGATGAATGAAAAACAACAACAGTCATAGATAGGTGTGTGTTAGACCAGTCAATCCATTGAGTCTAAAGAAAAAAATATCCAGGCCACATGTGTGCAATCCGTGCATTGTGTGTGCTTATTACTTGCTTTTATTCTCTATTGTTCCCATCATGTTCCAAATCTAGTCAAAACCTCTAATGCCAAGTGCTTTGATGCTGCTGAATACACAGGTCAGACCGTACAATAGAGCGACACACAACAAACACAGCTGCCAGACAGACTCAAGATTTATTGAGTCTGTCAATAAATTGGCAGCTATTGTGCCTCCTTTGTGTTATTGTGAATATTTTTATCTTCAATGATCTACAAAAGGTTTGAGAACATTCACTTTATTGTGACTGAGTGTATTGTGTGTTCATGAATCTGATTCACTGCATTAAATAGAGCGAAAGTGCCAGTTATAGAAATACAACACTATAACAACAATAAACGAGCCCTATAATGGTACTTACCAGGGTTATTGGACCATTTATGTACCATAGTAATCTTCAAAGTGCCTTGGAGTACCATTGTACACGAATATAGTGATCATTCACCTCAGGGTCCTACAGGCACATTCCTGTTCTGAAAAGTAAATAGATTTGTCTTGAAATGACAAGTCTATCTGGAAACGGATTCTTATAAAAGCTCACAGTGCTGTGCTTACTGACCTATGACTGTTCTCGTAATCGTCAAATACCCTGCGAGTCAGCGGGTCAGCATTTCATTACTCTAGTTCTGAAAGAACAGAATCACATCATCCCTCAAACTTTCAGGAAGTTCTTGGAAAACTCTAGAATGCTCAGAATCCCTCAAAATATTCCCATGCTTTTCCCAACAAAGCAAGCAAGCGCTTTAAAGTTTAAATAGCCTTGACGCATGACACAGTTCATCTCTGAGATAGTGTTTGTTTCCATCAGAGTTCATGAATGCAGCTCCAGACCCTGCACTTCCTTCCTTTCTCAGGGTTTCCCCCTCAGAGCAAAACAAAGATCCCAGTTTCCTGAAAAATATAAATAAAGATTCAGTCATCCTCATAGGACTGTTTCCTCATGCGCAGTCTAGAAAGGGTGAAGAACTGTATATTAACAAACAAGTGCTCATTAATATATGCTGTTCGTGAGACACACTTGGCACTGAATGATAAACTAACACATGAGCAGTGGGTTTGAAAATACATACTTGGAGAAAGAAAAAACTGTATTAAAACTTCACTCTCATACCATTCCCAACCTCGTTTTTCCTGTACTGAAGCCAGTTAAACATCTATAAAACAGCCCCTCCACGTAGAGGCCACCATCAGAAGGCCATAAACACACAAACACACCCTCTTACACTCCCAGCAGCAGGAGAACACGTGAACCTAATCACCCGTGAGACTTCACAGTAGCTGCAGTGCCGATCGATACTCGTTCTGTGGTAAATGAAGTATTGAGAAAGAGGGATGGAGAGCATACATTTTTTCGGGGGGTGCGGTTTTATCTAGGTTAAAAAAAAAACTCTCAATCAGCAAGCAAGCCTTCATTTTGAGAGCCTTCATCTTTGATTGTGATCTGATGACATCAGCGTGGCCCACATGCAAACTTGCCTTTCTCACACAACAGGCCCAAAAGTCACTTCAAAGACAAAATGATTCGGGATTATGGCTGAGAAATACAAATTACACTTTTTCTATAAGTTTCTTTTCTGTCCATTCTTCCTTGAATGTCTTAAATGTACTGATAATTCAGACTGATCTCATGAAATGGCGTATGTATGGTACGCCAATTCGTATTTCCATTTTTGGCGTGCTATCAACACGCATAATCGCTTTTCAGCGTGTTTATGAACGCCGTTGACTAAACGTTACATTACTGTATATATAAATATATGACCTAACCCAACCCCGTCCCTAAACCTAACCGTCAGTGGGGTTGATAGCATTTATGAGTCTTCCCCTACCATCCAAGGAAAAAAATATCGCTTCCCAGATGTAGATCTACATTTTGCTTCGTTTCGCTCAGACATTTAACGGCGTAGACATACACGCATACACACGGATAGCTCAAAATGCGTATAGATAACACGCCACTTAACTTGAAAATGGCGTGTATGTTTACGCAAAAGTCATGATGTCATGTTGGATAAGTAGCCTGTCCATAAACTTGGTGTTACAACCGAACAAATAAGAAAATAGTAAAAACTATTTGCATAAAATATAATCAAATGTGATGTGTCATGCAGAGACTACTAGGAATGTCCTTTTACTGTTTATCATCGTAAATTATCATACAGTCAGTAACTTACAGTCAGTAAGACCAGTGAACAGGTTTATTACAATATACTTTCATGAATATACTCATTTGGAGAAGACACGAGGACATCTGTGTGCTTAAATGGTGTTGATCCATGTTTGATCCATGATTAATCGTCAACAGGACATTGATGAAGTGCATCAACTTTTAATTGTTTATACAGAAAAATAAAGGAGACCTAAAACGAGCACATCTTGGTCCATTATACAGCTTAGCCGTCATTACACAAAAATATTTTTTAACCGACCAACCAGAATCAAGTATTCCAGAGAGCTGTCCAACCAACCTTAATACATATCCTATTAACTAAGGGTATGTCAGTGTGAGATATCGTGTTCAGCCAGATCATCAGATCCTTTTCTTTTACAAAACTGTCGTTTTTCCCTATTCTTTGAGTGGTCTTTTGTCTGAAAAGCTTTACTAGCTCTTCAGTTAAGTGTGAACTCTCGCTGTGTACCATAAGTGCCCGCTAGCTAAGAATTCAGGCCTCAACAACAGAGAGTGGCACGCATTCTGCCCTGGGCTTTCAGCCAATAAGAACGCAGAACAGACCCGTGGGCCGACCCATAATGGTGCAGCCGAGCAAATCAGAGCACTGGCACGGACTATCACAGCGGTATACAACACCCCGTAAAATGATTCTTAGAGAAAAGAGTGAACCGACCAATAATGACCGTTGCTTCAAACAATAATGCTTTCATCACTTTCTATCAGACATAGCTAATAGAGCACAGACCAACCATTGAGCCAACGCAGGCCACCCAGCCAACCATCTATTACTCAGAAGACAAAGCAACATTTATTACCAAAAGAATGCAGGCCGAAATGGAGAATTAACCAAACACAAGGAGCATGCTTTATGTTCCTCCTTGTTAAACTGTCAGTAGAGAAAATCTAATGCTAAATTCATGTGCTCCCCTTCCACCCTCAATCCCACCCACCCGAGCTGACATTTACACAGAGAAAGTCAACGGATCAGTACGAGCGAAGGGCTCTCAACTCCTGTCGTAACACACATAGAGCTTTAAAAAACAGCGGAGCACTGTGCCTCAAGTTAAGCGAAAGTGTCAACATCAAGTTCTGCCCCAAGCCAAATCAAGTACAACCTAAACACTTTTCCTTTCTAAAAGCTTCCCAGGAGCTCCTAATGAAGCCTTTTTCTGAAAATCTGAAACTAATTAATGATCCCATTTATCCCCAGTTACTAGCAACTTCCTACAGATCTCACACTAATTTCCCTTACTGAAGCTAAAATGGCCAAACACTGACAGTTCAACTATTGTATACTGTATTGGCTGATAGCGATAACCGATAATTCTTCATATTTGAAAGCCGATAACCGATAATTCCTCAATTATATTGGCCGATAAATCTAGATCCAAGTTTTTATATCATTTTTGAGAGCCTGACTACAAAAACAAAAGTCTCACTATTAAATCCATATCCCAAGTACCCAATTATAATGTTCTCATTATTATTTTATGTAGCATATATGACAGACTTGCGCTGTACAAGTGATTCCCATCATATTTTAAGCAATTCTAAACCATCAATGCGAACATTACACATCTGAAGTGTCTCAGCTGAAGGAAATAATCCGTTATTTATCGGCTTTCATATATCGGCCAAATTTTCTTATCAGGCCGATTACGATAACATTAAAAATAAACATATATCAGCCAATTACTGATAAGGTGGCCAATATATTGTGCATTCCTATTGTATATTCTGCCTGTTCTCATCCTTTAGCGTCATCTGTGACAAAATGGCGAAATACTACGCACATGGCACCCTTTATCGTTAATATAACACGCGAACCCAAGGCGTCATAAATCCTTTAGCGTAATATGAGACTACCCTACTACCCTACCCCACACCTAAACCTACCCATCACAGCGCGAGCAGTATTTGCCCGTTTTGTCATATAGCGTAACGTATGATGCTAAAGGATGAGAATGCGTTGGTATATTATTTGATGGTAAAAAAATGGTTTATTGTAGTTATTATTATTAATTATTCTAATGCATGCATCATTGTTTTTATGATGAATGATACCTCAAATCCAAGGGTTTGTTGATGGAAAAAGTGTGCTTTTACACTTCTAATGTCAGCAAACTTACAGATTTTGCATGCTGACCATGAAAAAAGCATGGTCGGATCTTTTCATTTGAGCCAGTAAGTAGCCACCTAGCAATGCCCAATACCACACAGAGACACGAAGATGAAGATGAACTTTAGCAACCACAAAGCAATGCCCTGGTAACCACCAAGACCATCCTAGAAGTAGCTTTCATTGGATTCATATAGCATAACAACAGTTTTCCTCACCTCTCTGGCCTTCTCCATCTCAGCTTGCAGGACCTGCTTGGCCACCTCCAGATCCTGTAGTTTCACCCTCAGCTCCTCGTTCTCCTGCTCCAGCCGAGATCTCTTCTTCTCCACAGTGTCCAGCTCATTGTGCACACGGATGGACACATCCTTCGCCACCTAAAACAACCATAACAGTTTTTAAATACGGTGTATTGAAATTAAGATTATTCTTTGAAAAAAAGGAACTCTGCAAACTGCCTATGGAGACAATTTCACTAGGACAACATTGAAGATGGCCGATTCATACGTTTTTGATTTATTTCTTCCTGAAGGTGGTTAGAAAGCTCATTAAAAGCGGTTGATTGTAAAGCTGCACTAACTTTTTAAGGAGGCAATTATCGGTGTTGTGAAAACAAAGACAGAAAATTCCAACACATCTATACCACATGCTGTTTGGACCATTTTAGCAACACAAGCCCATTTTTCATTCCTGACAATGTTTGTATGTTTCTAATAGAAGACATATAAAGGAAGGATGTAGGTTTTTGTGCGAGGAATGAAGAAAAGAGAGGGCTGCAGTCACTGAAAGGGGTAAATGGGGACTGTGACGGGGTATGAGGAGGAACACAGTCCCTGTTTGTGAGTTGTGCTTCTTGACAGAGGGTTCTCCTCTCTCTCTGTGTCTGAACCATAGCCAGGGTGCAGCTGGGTACCCACAATGCTCCTCTGTACCAACACCAAGCTCAAATTCATATCAGATCCCTCCATCTCTCATTCTTTGCATTTATTTATCTCACCAACAGCCTCTCTGCCTTGTTCCATCAATCTTTCCTTCAGTTTCCGTCCAGTGGAGCAACACTACTAACTTGCTAGCTCGTTTGTTTTTAATTCAATGCTTTTTTTCTCCCCCAAAATGTTGTGCTGTAGTGTTTTGGCGTTCCTGTAGCTAAAACTAGGGCTGTGTAACTAATATTTTATTAAATACATTTTAATTTATTTTAATAGTAATTAATCTCGATTAATCGCATCCAAAATAAAAGTTTGTATTTACATAATATTTATATGTGTAGTGTGTATAATTCATTTGTATATATAAATACACACACATGCATGTATATATTTAAGAAATATTTGCATGAATATACTTTATATATATTTATACAAAATGTATATTATACATAAATATAAATATTTGATATATTAATAACACATTTTTCTTAAATGTATACATGCATATGTGTGTATTTATATATACAACATAACTATACACACATATATTATGTAAACACAAACTTTTATTTTGGATGCGATTAATCGTGATTAATCGTTTCACAGCCCTAATTCAAACAGTAAAGCGTTTCCGCTTGCAACGGTCATGGGTTCGATTCCCAAGGAAAGCAAGAACTGATAAGAATGTAAATGTGTATCTGGAAATGCAATGTATGTAAAATACATAAATGTAAATGTAAAATGTAGTGTGAGGAAACTGTACAATGCTGTTCTGATGTTGCATTATACTGAAAAGGCAATATGAATCAATTTTGGTTTTACTATAAACATTCTACAGTTCTCTGAATATGCACAGTATATTATTTTACGATATATGGTGAGTATATTTAGAACGTATAATATATACCTAGCTAGCAGAATAATAAATGTGTTATCATGGTGGTTATATCTAAATTTTTAAAATTCAATACGATTTTTGATTGCAAATTATATCAAAGATTCATACAGTTATTGACTGTTAAATATAAAGTTTATATTTAAATCTAAATATATTTATATTTAAATATAACATTTATTTATTTAAATTTATTTAACTTTTTTAAGTTTTAGTTCTTTTAAGAACTTTTAGATCTTAAAGGAGTAGTTTACTGCTGATAATTTACTCACCCCCATGTCATCCAAGATATCGATGTCATTCTTTCTTCTATCGATGTCTTATTCTTTCTTTATTCCAGATGATGAATAAGGGTCTTATCTAGCAAAACGAGTGGTCATTTAAAAAATAAATAAAAAGTTTAAGTTTTATAAGCACAAATGCTCAACTTTCTCTGTACTGTGATGAGCGTTCGTGACTCTTCTGTTCAAACTCGTTCATCAAAATGAACAAATCTTTTTTTGAGTCATGACTCGAAGGGTCCTAGATAAGACCCTTATTCCTCGTCTGGTGTCGTTTGAAGCTGCACTGAAACTCTCATTTGGACCTTGAACCGTTTAGTTCCCAATGAAGTTCATTATATGGAGAAAAATCCTGGAATGTTTTCATCAAAAACCTTAATTTCTTTTCGACTGAAAAAAGAAATACGTGGACATCTTGGATGACATGGGGGTGAGTAAATTATCAGCAAAAGTTTTTTTTTGTTGTTTTTTTTAAGTGAACTACTACTTTAAATATAGAGAGATTTATACAGTATCAATATTTCAAGCATGAAAAAAATCGGTCACAATTCATAATAGAGTAGAGTTAGCTTGTAAACCACAGGTCCAAGGTTTTATGTTAATTGAGGCGTCTGTATTGTCATACAAATGCTTTAATTGTCAGAGCACCAGAAGTGTCTGTTGGCTTCAGATTATTTGCATTCACTCCTCCCTCCATTCTGTCTAGACGCCACCCACCTGCCTTTGACTGGCAATGTTGTTGCTTTTACATGCAAAAAAAGATGGACACCTATAGATCAACAGGGAAAGGGGTAGTGAAGCACAGCAATGCCGTATGTGTGTATGTGTGTGTGTGCATTGCTGTCCGCCCCTCTCACCACAACCTGATGTAGAACAACAAACTGCAAAATCTGCTAAACCATTTGACCAAACACTGAAATAAAAGGAGTGTAATGACCCATCAAAGAATATTTGCATGCGCCCATGACTGTTCATCTGTAGTACTTGAACAAATATGTAAATGGCTCTGTGGAATTTGTTTGTCTTTGATTATTTGTGTGTGTGTGTGTGTGTCGGTCCTCATCTTTTCAGGATTGCTCCGCCTCTCTGCCGTGCAAACGGTCGTTTTAAATGACTTCCCTCCAGATCTGTATCTGGTTGCATCTGCGGGACAGATGCCTGGGCACATTCACGCTGTAACCTCAACCTTACCCTATTTAGAAAAAAACAAACAAGCTGCCCTTCGGTTAACCTCGATAAACACACATGCAGCTCAGATGAGCCTTATGAAGATAGTCCAAGGGCACCAAATTCGGTCGTTGAAAGAAACCCATTAACACAGTTGCTGCTACATTTTTAAATGGATGGACACACTTTAAATGCATCTGCCAGTCCATTTCTGCTTCCACCCATATGTCACTCTCGGGTTATTTTTACTAATCCTGCCTTTGCAACCTAAAAGTGAGTAGTAGAGTCAGCATAAAATTGCATTTGCAAACCATTTTACTTACATAATGTGATGCATTTCTGAGTGAAACTGGAAATTACTGAGATAAAATATAGGTCTCCTGCTTTTCAATTTTTTAAATTGAAGTTATCTCAAGATACTAACTCGTGGCCTCAAGATAGTAACTCGTGGCCTCAAGATAGTATCTCGTGGCCTCAAGATAGTAACTCGTGGCCTCAAGATACTAACTCTATCTTGAGGCCACGAGTTACTACCACAAGCTACTATCTTGAGGCCACAAGTTACTATCTTGAGGCCACAAGTTACTATCTTGAGGCCACGAGTTACTATCTTGAGGCCACGAGTTACTATCTTGAGGCCACAAGTTACTATCTTGAGGCCACGAGTTACTATCTTGAGGCCACAAGATAGTTATAATTATTTTTTATTTATTTTTTTGCCAAAGTGGGACTAGGGGGGCTCCGTACCTTTCAGTTAGTTTTACCGCTACCTTTTTTCTGCTAGTTTAAGGTCATAATGTACAAAACAATCAATAGAAACAAGATGAACATTGCAAGAATCCTCAAAGTCATTTTGACTACAATCAATAATTAATACAAAAATGTCAGCAGCTGTGTTTGTATCAAACGAGAGAGGGCATTGGTGTTCAACAAGAGACTTGAAAGGCGGCTGACCAAACGGTCTGCCAAACAGCATTGCCATGGACGATAACGATGAAATATAGCAAATATAGCCATCAGCCACGGTACGAATTAACTAAATACTGTAGCATGTGTGACAACTATTCAAAGTATTCAAAGTACTGGATGTAGCGCTAGTTATCTTCATAAGCCTGTAAGGGTACAAGAAAATCTTAGCACTTAACTAGTTAGCAATTACATCTACACAGTTCTTCGTTGCTGTGCTAAGCTGAACTTAAAGAAACAATGTTCATCCTCCTCAACGCATAGTGTGTCTGTCAGAGCGGTGGCAATGGAGTATTTCAACCAGTTGAATGCACAAGGGCTGCGAAGATCAGTGTAATTTGACCTGGCTGTGCCGGTAGCGTGGGGAGACAATTGACCCTGTGTTAGGAGACTCCTGTCAGCAGTTAAAGAATTCAGCAGAGGCCGCGATGTTTTCCTGCAGACACCATCCCCCTCGCCTTGCCTCATTGACTGTGTGTTAAAACTTCTGATCCTTACCAGCTGCGTCCTGAGTAGTAAAACTTAAGTATGTGACAATGTTACTTGTTTAAGACCACCATAGTCAGTCTCAATAGCAGAAAGTGCCGAGGAAATCACTCTCCCTCCTTTTAATTCCCTCCGTTACTGTATACACATCAGCCATTTAAAAGACGAATACAGACAGTGGCGACGGGAATGACATCATGGTTATTTCTCTTTCCTCTGACAGACCAGATAAAGGAAGTATTGTGTCCACAGCCATGTGAGACAGCTGTCTGCGTGGTGCATGACATGCAGGCTAAAGCATGATCTTACAGTCTATTGGAGACCTTTACATCACTGGATATTTATATTATTCACTTATGGGATGCAGAAGTCCCTTGTGAAAAACAACTTATGGAACTAATATACTTTAAAAGAATATTCTTACGTGCAAACTGACTGTAATGATTTCAGACACTTAAAGGGATACTCCACCATTTTTTCATATTAACCTATGTTATTCCCTTATCTAAGACGAGTTGATCATCACTCCGGAGAGTGAGGGGGGAGAGGATTTTTCACGAGTGATGATATTACTGCGCTGAGTCGAAGTGCTCCCAAGCACTTGCTGTGGTATTCCGCCATACAATATAGTTATCCATTTTACACTATAGAGAAAAGCGTGTAACTGTGTTTAAATAGGGAAAACGTGGAGGTGTTTGGTCGCTTCTCTTATTGGCTCATATTGAATGAACTGGGCTAAGCTAAGTGCTATCTGTGGTGTCTAGTGCACCTAAGACGAGAGAGGTATGTATCAACTCCTCTTAGTTAAGGGAATAACATAGTTTAATATGAAAAATCGGTGGAGTATCCCTTTAATTCCATGATACACATGATAATTCCATGATTCCATGATACACGATACACTTAAATGGACGTGTATTAAAGTTCAACATTTCTTATTTATATATTTTTTAAAGTATTTAAATATATATGTAATTACATATTTGTAATGATGAGGTTGCAATTTAGCACATTTCAAATAACTTTACATCAGTTATATTAACTTCATCTATGTTTAAATTTACACTAAAGAAATTACAATCAAGTAAAATGTGCTTTAAATGTGCTTTAGTTTGTTAGCCAATCCATCGAATTAATTACTAATAATTAAATACTATTAAGCATGACAAAAAATTATTAAAACAACAATTAAAGGCTTTTATTTGATGTTATTACAGTGTAGTTACAGTTACTTAGCTTATATTACCTGAAAGTACAGTTTCTAAAAAACAAACTGTTAAGATTTGCAGTGCAATGCACAGAGAACAATTGAGCACACTTCTAGGGGTAGTTCAAATAGCCAAACAGACTATGATTACACTGTGCCACACTAACCTTAACGTCTTGCTCCAGGGTGCGGATAAGCTCCCCGTCCACATGTCCGGTCTGGGCAACGCGGATACTGCGTCTCTCTGCCTTCTTCAGGCGGTACTGCAGGATGCGGCAGGTCTTGTTGGCCTGATCCAGCTGCTGCCTGAGCTCCTGGAGCTGATAAACATCCTCCTCCATGTACATGTCCCTCATCTCCAGCATCTCAGAGCGAAGCTCCTCCATTTCATCCTGATACACAAACAAACAAAATCACTATGCATTTTGCAAACATATTAGGTTTAAATTATAAAATATCTACCCAGGTAATTGGCACCCTTTCAAAAAATGCATATGCCCCTGACCTATTATCAAGTGTGATGTGAAAACCAATATATGCATCAAATTCATTATGCTGCATTATGATTTTCCTCGAGACCCTAGAGTTGCATAATAGTGCGATGTTTACAATCACTCTTTACACAAATAAACTGTTTATACCTCAAAGGGATAAATGCATCCCACTTTCAGAGGCTGATAGATGCTGTGGGCCACCGCGTGCTGTCACACATTTCCAGTGAATATAGGTCAACTACTGCAGCGCGCGTCACGTGCTCAGCGCGCGGATAAACAATGGAGTGAAAAGTGGGCGCGGGCGCAGTGGAGTGGACTGCTGCAGCATCTGTACAAACAGCTGCATTACTCAGGCAACACGAGTGCAAGAGCTACTAAACACTAGCCTTTTTCAATGCTGATATTTTAGGCATGTCAAATGAAAAAGATTTGGCTTCGTCATGGTCTTCTGGTAGTTTATGAAAACCGAGATTACAAAGGAATCACTGTTCAGCTCATAGTAATTCTGTGGAAAAGACAAACCCATCTAATAGGATCTTAAATATATGCCTGGCAGCATAAATATAAAATGTATTTTCAGTTTTATGGGGAACACACTGGCATGTCTGCCTTAGGAACAATGATAATGATATAGGGCAGTAATACAGTGACCCCCAAAGTTTCCATCAAATACAATAACAACAGTTATTGCGATACATTTCATCATTATAACAAAAAAAAAAATCTTAGTTTCCAGCCATTTATCATCTCACAGCAATTACTGTAATTTCTTCTCAGTTTTATGAATTTATGAATTAGATTTTCTTGATTCAGTATAGGCTATCAGTTCTAACTGGCCTTAATTAATTTACCACTTTTATATGTTGTTTTTTAGTAGGTAATTCAGCATTTTCAGTCTAGTTGACTTAAAACTTGTTTAAGCCGCTTGGCTTATATACTGCAATACAGTTGTGTTACTGTAGGCTATACTTTGGGGATTTTTTTTACGAACCACTTTAACCTTTGGCATACCTTTTTGGTTCTAGTTGGTTATTTTGAGGTTTTGGTGTTGAATTATACAGTGTTCTTGAGATCAGTGTTTTGGTTGTTGGCATCACCCAAAGAACTAAAATAACATCCAAGTTGTAACCCTAAACTGAGCAATATGACATTTTGAGGGAAAAAGTGGTTAAACATGTGCTATATGACACCATTATTGGTTTAACTTAAAAAAAAGTTAGATACCTGTTTTCTTTCAAATTTTGAGTTAATTGAAGTGAACAATTTGAGTTAATACAAAAGAAGGCGATTGGTTTAATAAGAAACTCAAAATATTATGTTATCTGAACCACACAATAAAAGGCAAAAAGTTATGACAACAAATCATGAAAATATATTTTTTTCCTATATGCTTTGATGTTTGATTTTACAATGATAAAATATAATAATCATTATCTTACCTTTAAATAATCATTTTCCGACCTGAGTTCCTCTATTTCCCTGATTAATTCCTCATGCATCCCGTCCATCTCAGTCAGGTCCGAAAACGCCAGGGATGTGCTGGCGAGCATCCTGCTGTCGAACGAGGTGAGCGAGCGCTCGTCGCCGGGAGAGACGCTCCCCTCTGCGGTCTCCATTCCCAGCGAGAGTCGCTCTTTCTCCACGCTGGTCTTGGATTGACCAATCGTGTCCAGTAGTCCATGTTCTGCCGCCGATTTATCGCCGTCGATCCCCCCGCGACTGCTGGTCTCAGTGTCGCTGCTGAGCGCGTCTGTGGAGACCTTGTTCTCCTCGGAGGCGCAGTCCGATAGCTCGGAGCTGCTGTCGGTGGCTGAGAGTTTCCCCGGAGCGCAGCCGGAGTCCTTGCTTAAATCATCCGATCCGATGCTGGCGTCCGAAACTTTTCTTCGAGCGCTTTTGTTCTTCTGAGCACCGGCCGCGGACAGCGGGGGCTTCCCGGTCGGTTTACTCTTCTCTGTTTTCGTTTCTTTCCCGGTGTTAACCGGGCTGCGTCTGGACACGCGACCGCCTAAATATATGGCTCCCGGTTTAACGCTCAGCGTCGGCGTCCCGATCCCTCCACGGATTTTAGTGAGGGACCACCCGGGCACATCTTTGGGTCTCGCAGGAGACGGTGCCCGGTGTGTCTTCTTTTTCTCGTTAACTTGCAGCGGCTGCGCAGGCGGCTGTTCTGGTTCGCCGGTGCTGCTCTCCATTTTCTGCTTTTGCCTCTTCTCCTTCGACGAGACAAAATGCGTCGGGGAACCGGTGTCAACCTTTGTCTTGGTCATTCATTCCGTTTACAAGACACGAATGAAGCTGAAATGTTACCTCCACTCCCTCCCCAAAAAACAGAAGTTGAACTGGTAAATGCTTTACAGCAACAGATCATCCGACATCAAAACCGTAGAAATTCCACAAGAAAATGTGAGTGCTTGGATTGAGATGCTTCGATTTTCTTTTATTCACCACGTCTGCAAAATATTCTCCCGTGCGCGCCCTCAGTTGTGAACCGCGGCTTCTCCTCTGCTGAGTGTTAGTGAGCTTTAGTGAGGTTTCTTTCTCTTTCTCCCCGCCCAGATAGCGGCTCGACCGTGACGAATGGAGAGCCTCGCGCGCAGAGCAGAGCACTACTGCCACCAACACACGACGCGTGAACTCATCATCTCATTCGAATGGGGGGTTTCCCTGCAAAAAATTACATGATCAAAAAGTTATGTTGTGAGTGTGACATTGACATTTTGCTTCAGATTTAATGACTTTTCCTAATTTAATGGGGAAAAGACAACTCTGTTAACATAAAATTAACCTGCTAATAATTTTTCAAAGTCCTGTAGCCTACACATTTTGTAGCATCGGTGTTCCTTGGGGTCAATTTGAACCCAGGCTCTTTTAGTTGTATAATAAAGCAGAAGAAATGTAAAAATTTCACACACATTTGTTTTGGTTGTTTTATTGAGGTCACTATAACATGTTATAATTTATTCATTGTAATTTTACATATTCAAAATCATATTCAAAAATCTTGCCTCTGTTTTAGGGCTCTAACCAAATAGAACCACATCTGTAGTATTGTGAGAACCACTGATAGTTCACATGACATGTGACATAATTCTCAAGAGAACTAATAATTCTTTCCTTTGCATTGGGGAGGGGAAAACGTCATTTTTGCGAGAACTTTGATTTTTTCCCGTGCCATGGGGGAGGGGAAAACATAATTTTTGCAAGATTGACCCCAAACATAACTCGGGTTACTATCTTTGATAAAATAAATAGTTTTTCTTTCCAAATGCTTACAAAACTCAGTAAGTCCATAGTCGTGCAATGGGTATTCTGGATGTAGGCTATAAGGGGTTAGGTGTGGTGGGGAGGGGGGTGGTGGGTGGATGTCAACTTAAAAGGTTACTTAAGAAGTCAACAAAGACATAAATTACCTGAGACAAAAAATAAATAAATAAATCATATTGTGGAGGTTTAAATTACTGGGGTCAAATTGACCCCAGTGGGTAAAAAGTGTTATCAACAGGAGGGTTAAGTGAATCATTAGCACAATGTTTTGTCCAACTCGAATGTTTTTTTATGGGTCGACTTTCTTTAGTGAATCTTGAACTGACAGTGCGAACAACATAGGCATATATTCCCAAACAATTTACTATTATTAGCCAGGTGTTTTGAATGATGTAGGCTAATGAATCATTTTAGTGATTTCCCGAAATACAGTAGGCTAGTATTGAGTCAAGTTTAAAACAACTTTTGTAGTAAGGTTTTTTTTTTATCTTTAAAGAGATAGTTCACCCAAAAATGAAAATTATATCATTATTTACTCACCCTCAAAGTTTCTTTCTTCTGACAAACTCAAGAGAAGATATTTTTAAGAACATGCCAATCAAACAGCTGAAGGCAGCATATTGACTTCCATATAGGAAAAAAAAATACTATGTAGTCAGTAGTCAATGGCTACCGACATTCTTCAAAATATCTAATTTGTGTTCAACAGAAGAAAGAAACTCATACAGTTTTGAAACAGCTTGAGGGTTGGTAAACAATGACAACATTTTCATTTTCGGTGAACTATCCCTTTAATTGTTTCATGTCTCCCCAACACAACTGTATCTGTATGGCTAAAACAATCTATCTAAGTTTCTAGCCTATTTATCTACTGTCTTGGCTTATTCAGGAGATACCGGTACTAGCTGTCATATTTTTGACATTTAGTGAATATTTCTCCTAGGTTGATTTTGGCTACAAAAAAAAGCTATTGATAATTTCCATCATTAAGGAAAAAAAAAGTATCATTAACAGCCTATTTAACATAATTGACCTTTTGACCCCCGTAAATTTGGCAAGTTGTTACAATGGGAGCCTTCTGTTTCTGATGAATACCACTTTTTTTGATATATGAAATATAATTGAAAAAAAAAAACTTCCATGACTTACTCTATATTTTATTTGTATTAGCATGAAAGTTGAAAATTGTTGGCTTTTAATTGTATTAATGTGTGTGGTTTTATTGCATTTATACTTCATTAAGTGTTACTGTAGCTATAGTTAAAATAAGCATTTATACCATTGGCTCAAAATATAACATTTATTGAAATACAGCCCTTGTGATCTACCTTTTCTTCTGTGCTGAAAACTGCTTGTCTCCAGCAGTGGGAAGGGAGGCTGGCAGGAATGTGAGCACGGATCACATGCACCAGAATTAGTGTGTGATGATTGCTTTATTCAGAGACTGCACTCCTGGACGAACACTAGAGCCTTCTGGGACCCCTCACACAGGTGGCACTCCCCACACTTCACATAAGCTCACAGTTAATGGGTTAATCCACAAGAACACCCGGCTGGAGACAGGACAGAGGAGGTGGTTGGGATCTGTGCTAACGGATTGCCACATGAAAGAAGGGGATTTGCCCCAATCTTTTATTTTATTACTTTTTTTTAAATTATCTTTTAATCCCGATCTTTTATCGATTGATTCATCCACGTTTGGTTAATTCCAGTGTGTAGGCTACATGTAATGTTTTCTTTCATTAACACTGCTGTTTTAGAAATAGAGCAAATTACATCTTACATTGTAAAATTTATTGGGATAGATCCTGCAAGAAGAGCAAAATTGGCAATGTTGGCATTAATTGCTAACAGAACATATTTATAGTAGTATGTCTGAATGGAAAAAGGGCTGCGTTTATTTCTTTTAAGACAGCAATTGCTGTCTTGAGACGTTTAGGGATTTTGTTACTGTTATGGCTGTCAGCAGCCTTGCCACACTAGACTGAGGAATGCAAAACCCACAGGGAGACATGGCATTATCTGCTGCTGGATAACACATATTCTACTTCGTGGTGGGCTTAATTAATGTACAACGGTATTTTAGTCCCCTGTCCTATATACTTGGCCTAAATATCTGTGATAATGATACTAACAGGTTTGCCTGCTGTTGTTGCATCATGTCTCTGAGGAGGGAGGACTGGGACCCTGCAGTCCTCTCGTCTCCGTGTAATGGTTGTGGTGGCGACAATGACGAAAGAGGATTCATAAATCCTTATTGGTCTTGTCGGATGAGAAATGCATCATCTGACAAGGCAAGGCAATTTTTTACTTCATTTTATTTTAATTTAATCATTATTTTAACTAAATACATTGGGTTTTTTTTTTAAACAAGTAAACATACTGTATCAATCTAAGATTTGGTGCCAAAAAAACAAATAAAACTGAAAACCCACCACATTTTCATGTTTTCTTATAATTATCATTGCCATTTAAGTGAAATGACTGAACTTAAATATACAAGCTTGATAAAAATTATCATTCTAGAAGAAAATTTCAAATGGCATTTAGAGGCTTTTGCATCTGAACTCTTCATATATATAAATATATAATTTATTAAATTTTATATTATATATATTATTTATATTATATATTAATTCATTAAATAATTAATATAATGATTAATATATATATATATATAGGTTCTAGGCTAGGTTATTGGCAAGTTTCTTGTCCATTTCTGTTATAGAGTAGACATTAATGTTCAGTGTGCATACAGCAATTATATCTTGACATGGATATTTTACCATAGGGATATTACAACATCTGTGTCAGAATAAAGTAGAAAGAGCAAACCATTCAACAGATCTTCTGTGTGTTAATTGAACCACTACTGTCACCTTATGGCCACATGAAGCAAGCACAACAACACTATTATCACTTCAAAGGTTGAAACAGTGGTAGAGGATAATAAAAGCAAAGACACCTTAACAAAGAGATTCCCTAATCTTATGCCATAAAATGTATTGTACATACTGTGTTATGCCAATCATGTTTTGCATCTGCTTATAGGCTTCACGTTAGGCTACTTTTGTCTGACATTGATAGATTCGCTTCCCTCAAACTGAGTTAGACTCATGCATCAGTGATGAGCAGAAACAAAGCCATGTTGTAGAGGGCCAGTGGGTGTAATTGGCGTGTTTAATACTGGATGAAAGAGTCCATTTTACTGTAGTCCAGGCTGTAGTCCTCTGAGATCTGTTGGAACAACATCGCAATAACTGCAACCCTGCTGGCAGACAAATCAGCAGGATGTTTTTTAAAGAAAAGTTTATAATTTGCCTCTTCCATCATGTTTTATTGCTGACAGATGACTGGCTGGTCTGAATGTGTGGCTTTATGCTCTAGACAGCACAAATGAATCACAAAACTGGACAATACATTGCAATACAATGTATTTTGGCCAATATGTCAAAGCGACACACACACACACACACACACACACACACAATAAGGGCAGTTTTGCAGTGAGGTCAATGCAGGTCCGCTGTGCTGCTGGGAACAGGGGTGTATATCGACGTCTGCCTCATTATATAACGAGAGACGTAAAACAAAATGAACAAATTTATATTTTTAGTGTCCAAGCTTTTCATGCTTGATTGCAATGTTTGAGGATCATAGCATGCAAGCAGGTCTATAACTGGCTTCTCTGTACTGTTTTACAGTTCCGTCAATGGCCTCTGGTAATGACTGATGAATGTTACATGAATTTCTTGGAATGAATAATATGCTAAAATGAAACAGGAATAGCCTGAAAGCTGGTTCATAGAACAGACTGCAACATATGCTTATACAATATGATTTGTACAGTGTACGTTCAACATCTGTATGTGCTGTTCGGTTCAATATTTTAATGTCAAGATAACGTGTAATAAATGACTGGAATGACCTCTTTGAATTTTTAAGTAAAATCAACTTGGATGTATTGGTCATTTCAACTTAAATTTACATTAAACTGACTTTAAAACTTATTTTGATAAGTTAAAGCAATGTAAACACATGTACTGCCATAACTTATTGTTTATATCATTTTAAGCAATAAGGAATTCAATTAAACTACATTAACCCAAACTCTTAGGCTTAGCTAGCATGTGAAGCATACTTGTTTATTTTGTTACATATTCAGTCACTGAAAGTATTGTTAAGTTTAACAGAGCAAAAGCTGCATGTTAAACACATTATTGTGCAACTTCAATGCAAAAGGTCTTGCCTTGACGTAACCAGTCAGGCGACGAAATGCACGCATTATAATTGGCCAAGAGACACGTCAATCAAAACGCCCATATCGGTCTTTTCCGGCTGAGTGTCAGCAGCAGCAACAACAGCAGCAGCATCATCATCATCATCATCATCATCATCCCTGTCCAAGAGAAGCGAAATCCAGTCATCATCACAGGTACCCGATTGTCTTCTTTAAATGTAGCCCTTCGGACTCTTTCACAGCACTAACTGCGGTTTTAAAGCAATGCTTTCCAGCGGACGCAAAGCTCTCGAGCCGTCATTTAGTAAGTTTTGCAGTTAGCTCGAGCTTTAGCCTGTTAGCATCTATTTACAGACTCCGGCTGCTCCTCTCGTAACATAGCGAGCTGCTGTCTTCCTACACAACATTGTTGAGTGAATAGCGATCACTGACAAAACCCACTGATTAACCTATCTGAACCAGAATAACCCCCCAAAATGCTGTCTAGATAGGCAGCTCACTAGAATTTAGGACACAGCCCTGATTTGTGATTTGAGCCCTGTCAATTGCTGAATCTTGGTGTTGGTGTGTAGTATTGTCTTTTGATTTACGTTTGAGTTTTAGAGATTGAAACCTTTCGTGTTGAGTTTTCGGGCTGTTCAGCTTCCCCAGCGTAATTTCTCATTAAAAGTAAACAGTGACGTTTTGTGAAGGTTTTTGCTTCCAGATAATTTGCATCTGTTTAAGTGTGTTAACATATTCTGCACCGACATGAACGAGTTCGTGACTCGTGTTGTTCCCTGTGGCTTTATACACCAGCTTCTGTAATAACTTGCTGATCTTGTTTACTAAATTATAGCATTATTTAGTATTTTATATCTTTCTTTTATTATCTTTACATATTCTTTTCTAATAAGTGACTGGTTTTGGCCTGTGGATTTATCAAATGGAGTTATCTGCATAGTCATATTGACTCAGTAGGTTTCATGGCTTTTAACTGCAGCAACATTTTTTTTTTTTCACCATTTTTCGCCAACATTTTTCAGTTTTAATCTGCATCTCATTTAAAGAAATGTCATAGACGTTGGCAGTCACCTGTGTTAAAGTGGGTGAAATGGCTCAGTAATGGACAGTGAGCTTTGCCACATGGACTTCTGAGCAGTTATTGCTTTTTCAGTTCCTGAGGTGTTTTGTTGTGTGTAGCTTGGGGCAAGACAGATGTAGCCACATTCCTGAGAGTAAATCAAGATACCACTGCCTTATTTTATGTGCGTGCACATGGAGATTCCCAACACCGCCTTAACTTAACTAATCTGTCATTGTCAGGTATGTGAATACACCTTACCCAAGCAGACTGCATTCCTAAGGTGTCAATGAATCTGAGTATTGCAAGAGTCTGTGATTCATTCCACTTCTGAAAACTTGTGGGTGTTTGTGTGTTTACCTACAGTCATGACCTTTCGGATATTGCCTCAACCTCATGTACCTGACCTTCACAAATGCACGCAGATTTGGAATGCTTATAATTCAATATTATACACATCATCCCCTTACGGCTTTATTAAGAATTTTGGCAACATCCTTTTTATATAAAAAAAATGAAATCAAAAGTCACCATGAAATCAATATTGACAATTCTTATTTTATCAAGGAATTGCTGTATTTATTTTAAAGTCCTCTTGTGGTGAAAATCAAATGTTTAATGTTGTTTATATGTCTATATGGTGATATTAATGTGCCTTAAGACAAACCATGTGCAACCACACCATTTTGTACACCATTGCAGAGTATTTTCTTTTTTAAACTGCAGAGAACCAAAGACAGTCTCAAAAATACGGTTTTGAAATCACTGGTGTTTCTGATGTCACTACCCTCTAACCAATCAGATCGTTGTGCCGAGTCCGACGGGCTTCAGCATATCATTAATTGCGAAAGAGCAGGGGAGTCTCGGGAGAAGCCAGGTTTTCCCAGTATATTTTTTTTGTTGACATGAAAAATTGTGTAGATTTAGCAATATAGCGGGCGTATAGGCCTAATGTATATTATTATGTTATGATGAACTAACTATATGTCTTTCTCCACTGACGTGCTGAGTTTTTCCAAAGCGTTTCTGATGATTATTAGAAGGCAACGGGTCAGACTCTGAGATGATGAACAGGATACAGGAACATGGTTTGTGTAATATAAGCAACACATTGTTGTTAGCTAAATGAAGCAAGTCTGTAGAGTTACATTCAAGCTATTTTAAAGCATGAAGTTCATGAATTTTTTTTTCACAGGAAAATAAAACATTTAAATATGTCATTTTTCACCCTCTTGCCTGGGGCAAAGGTGAAACGGCCTGTCAGTCGCATGACATCACAGCAGTAGCGAACCACAACCAGAAGTCCGAGAAGTCACAATAGCGAAGAAAAGGCTAGATCGTAAATTCTGTTTCATCATGCTGACTTTAAATGCATTAAGCACAATAAATGCCCAATAAATTCTGCAGATTTGGATTCCCATCACATCTGTTCCCCTTTTCACAAATTCGTTCTCAGAAATGAGCCAGCACCCCTTTTAAAAAGTGTCAAGGGAAAAGGCTTACATAATCATCATGTATTTTGGGTTTGTGTGTGTTCTTGGTTTAGTCGATCAGGATTCTGTTCAAATCCAACCGTTTGTGTGCTGGGCATTGTAAGACTGTCTGTACCCGAGTCTTTTCATGCGGACGTATTGTGCCTGGTTATCAGTTGCCACGGCACCGGTGTTCAGTCGTCTCTGATTCTATTCGGCTCGCTCCCGGGAACCCTGTTCGCATATCAGAGATCATTACTGTAGCACAACACAGTGTCTCGGGGGCAGCTGAGACGTCTGTGTTATTTTAACATTTCATCTGATTGCAGAACACTTGTTTTCCCATGTAGGTGAAAGTGCATCAGAGATAATGTATCAGATTCTGATGAAAAACTTGAGCAATAGTCTCTCTCTCGCTTTGTCTCTCTTGTTTGATTTCAGGGGACTGATGGTGTCTCCCTGTTGACCCTTTGCTTATTTTGATATTGGCTCTAATGTGTGTTTAACGGTGAAAAATCGAATTTCTGTAATTATCAGCTAATAAGGGTAAATTAACATACTCTGGTAAATTGGAGGGAGCATACGCATTTTCTACACGGTCTGAGTTGGGTTTGTACGTCCACCAGATCTTTGATGGAATCACATCCTCATGTTCTGATATCAAAAATATACAATGTTCAACAACTTGTATGAAGTAATTCTCTGTCTGCTGATCGAACTGGAACAAAGTGAGTTTGCAATAATTGAAGCTTTATTATATATTTTACATGATTTTATAATGTTATCCATTGGTTTGTTATAAATACACACAGTGTTACTGGGTTATTACTCTATTACATTTAATTCAGTATCTTTTTAGTCCAGTTAAAACCAAAAACGCATACAGTCTTCTCAAGTGTCTACTCAAATCTCTTTGAAAAATATGTGTAAAAAAAAAGGTCTTGTTTTTCATGCCCTAAGAGCAATAAAAACACATAGGGGGGAAAAAAATCCTTCCTGAGGTTGTCATAATTCATGCATGAAAGGGTTAAGGACATTCCACACATTCACATCCCTTCTCTGCTTTAAAACGAACCGTCTGCGTTAAAAAAAGGTTAATGTTAAGAGTTGGTGTGACCGTGACAGAGACAGCTGAATGTTGTCTTCCATGCTTAAAGGGATACTTCACCTCTGGAAAGATGTATGTGTATTTAAAGTGGATCATTTATGTTGAAGAAATGTGAAATTATTTTTGAATTTGGAGCTTTCTAGACTGAGAAAAGCCAGAAGATGTATTTTTGGGATGAAAGACAACAACTCCCAGAATGCACTTGCTTCGCTGCCCTAGGAGGCCACGCCTACCAGTAACAGAGCGCAGGAGTTAAACAACTAGTCTAGGCTACTAGCGAGTCTCCGTGATGAGTCTGCCCGGGATTTCGAGGTCGCCCAAAATGTTATGCTAAATATGCTATGCTAAATATATGCTAATGCTAATGCTAATATACAAATGCTAAATCCTGAAGTTTTCCCTTTAAGTTAGACTCATTTCCTGAATCTTTGATTTACTCATGAGTCATCTGTGTGGCCTGACCCCTGACTTTTGCCCTTTAAAAACTCATAAATAGCCTTGAGTTTCACCTGATGGAAAGGAAGCGTCACATGGTTTGGGTCATTAGAAACCAATTAGCCCTTGCAAATTGGTTGAGATGCTTTTGAATCACTGTTTGAAACTTGTGAACAATGAGTTGTTGATTAATTGGTTCAAGGAAATAGGGATGCCAAATTTACAATTTGAATTTCGAATAGTTGTTGAATTTAAATTAAAAAAACATATGCGAATGCAAAAGCGGTGCATTAGAATTTTAGGTGTGGTGTGCACCAGCCACCAAATGATGAATGAGTCATTGTGTCCAGTTATAATGCTCATTATGCCATGTCCTTACCAAACGCGATGCGATAAGATCCCTGCGGCAAGCTATTTCTCTGTCCACACAAATGACACAACTACGCAATGCGACAAAATCGATCAAAAATCACAGCCAATCAGAAGAGTGTGTGGGAGGAGTCTATCTGCAAGTACACTGCACTCTCAACCAAATGGATAAATACATAATCAAATTCATAATTTTTAAAAATTATTAAAAATACGGAGTGACTGATTCAATCAATCTTTGTCATAGATAGAATGCACTTGTTTGTTCACACTAAGTCCACAGTTTGTTTCTTATTTTTTTATTTAATTTATTTTCAAGATCTGATTTTATCCATTGTCGCTTTCAGAATGGCTAAGGTCATGGCGTCATGCTAAATGATATTCAGACTCACATTAGATGTGTTTAACATGAAATAAAGCACATAATTTCGGCATAATTTGTTGTTGTTTTGTTCCTGCCATGACATAGCAAAATTAGAAACATTTCTAAAATAGAATCGCTGCGTATTACCATTATGGCCGATTTGGACAAAAACTCTGATTAACATGGTCGTGTCTGGTTGGGACGCAGTGTTATATTCACAAATGAAACGTCAGCAAATTGAACTTTTACACAGATTCGCTAAAATGAAAGTCGGCAAGAAATGAAAATTCACCTTTCTTGTTTTGTTATTGTGAACAGTTTATCCACGTTTAGGTTTAAAAAGTGTATTTGACCTCATAATGTTTAAACAAAATGTCATAACTGGATGATCCAGTGGTAACGACAGACTTCTCTGTGTTGATACAGGACTTCTCCAATCATTAATTCCGCTTTAACTCATTAGTGCCTTTCTTACAATTGACTACAATCTCGCATTGATTTGAGTACAACGCCCACATGTCAAAACTGATGGATACACAATGAAAAAATCTTCTTCCTACTTTAGTTTTTCTTTTTAAACCTTTTTTGCTATTAACTTGGGTGTGTGTCATTTGGAAGAAAATTTCTGTTGCTACTTCACACTATTTATTCAGAGTTCACTAAAATGTTTGTCATGCACTGACCAGGTTGACGGTACGTAGATTATGGAACATAAGTGAAATACAACTTGTGTTAATCTATTAAGATTTGTAACGTTTTTCTAAGGTATATTGGGTGCCTGCTTATTTGAAGATGCTTTGGGTCATTGTATACTTCAGTCATTGTTAGTCTAATAGGTTTCTTTTTGTCCTTCAAAATGTTAGCAAATTTCTGTCATTATGGACCCCTAACCCTAACTATGAGCTGGAGTAATAGTGGCACTTTGCTTGGCAAACACCACTAATGAATTGTCAAGGTAAATTGTGGAGTGATTTGGCGTTAAAGGTATTTCCTGAAGTTGCAGAATGGTTGGTGGCACTTATCTAAATAAAATGTCTGAGAAGGTTTATTATTAAAAAGCAATAAACGTTATGCAACATACTTATGCATATTTGTCCTAATAGCGAGTCGGCTCATTGACTTGGCTATCGCAGAAAATGTTTTTGCAAACAAGAGCCACAGGAGACAGCGTAGTATTCATGATAGTTGAAGGAAAAACTTGAACTGGGTAATTAGAAATGGGCACTACTTGATTTGTCTTCGCTTTTCATGTTACTTAAAGACTTCAAAGTTGTCTTAGGGGTGTAATAGCAGCTGTCAGTTGCTCTCCCGTAATTTGTGCTCCGGGAATTCATTAAGCCTAAATGGCAGTCTGCTAAGACAGACCAAGAGAGACATTCAGCAAGTCAATAGCTTCATACATTTGCATAGCTGGCTAATAGACTTTAACCGTGAAAGAAGCGTTCCCTCAGGTATTGTCTAGACTGAGATAAGGCCGTCCTGTGTGCGTCACAGTACAGGTCTATCGCTCCGCTTGCACTCTTTGGATGGAGATTGTCCAAAGTTCAGTTCTATATCAAATAAGTTGCTGCATACAAGCCCATGGGAGGAGACCTGCAGTGGCTCCACCTCTCATTTCAAGAGCAGCCGGCTAGTTTCAGTCAAACAGGATAGGTGAATGGATGCATGCATAAATGAACTAAGGCTCTAAGATCTTTGGAGTGAAGGTGAATGATGGGATTTTTGTTTTTCCTATATGGGAAGCATCAAATGGACTCCATTTTAAAACTATTGTAAGCTGTTTTCTTGTTCATGAGTCTGGTTTTGATATTGACCATTGTCTCTTTGCAGGTGTCCCTGTTTCCAGAGACAAGAAAGAGAGACCATGTTTTAGAGACCTTGTGTTGTCAGCCCATTCTCTACAATGAACAATGAAGACGAGTTCTATGATGCCGTCACAGGTGAGAGAGACGTTTCGGGATGGTAGGGCTCCACAGTTAATCAGAAAAAAATTATCAATAATATGATTTAAAAGTGTCCATTTATGTCTACTCCTGTTGCGTTTGTTTTTAAACCAATCACATACATCTATCACCAATGGATGGATATTTGAAACCAAAAGGTAGCTCTAAAAAAAGAGAAAGAAATAAGTTCAACAACTTTGCCCACCTCTGTGACACAAGCCAGTCCAGTCGTGTGTCATGAAAACATTGACATACTCTCAGCGCTGTCTGAGTTCACACACAGCAGTATTAAACAGATGTGTTTTCTTTTGACGCTCTCATTTGTCTCTTATTGTGAGTGTTCTGGCCAATGTTGACTTAGGCCCTCAGCCGTGTGTGTTTGTTATGACAGAGCGTTTAAAATGCGGCGAGCCAGTCTGGTGTCGGTTTACCGCAATCTATTGATAACTTCAATTATGTAGTGCAGCTTTCAGATGATCCGATGGCTTCTGTCATTGCGGAGATGAAAATAATGTAATGAATAAATAAACAAGGCAATATGGACTTTGGCAGGTCATTGTGCTGGAAACCTGAAGCCTGATATCATATCAACCAAGTCTCTCATATCGGGTGATACAAAACGTGAGGAACCGCATTTTATTCCATGTTTATTAAATCGTTAAACAAAGCATGTTGATATCAGACATACAAAAGAAATTTATAAGTCTTCTGCATTTAACACGTATGGTCAGTTTTAGTGAAGAGATTTTATTTATGGCAATAACGTATATGTTTGATTACAACTGATATTATTTTATGTATTTTATAAATAACTTCACTGTTCTTTTTTTATTATTATTAACATTATTGAAAATCAAATATCTTGAACACATTTAAACACAATTCAAAAATATATGATAATAATAATAATGTGCTTGTGTGTCTCAGGCTTGGATTCAGACGAGTCGTGTGAAGGCACATCAGAAGCCAGTTTTAAAGACGCTGTAGTGTATGACGGCCCTCAGAAGAACAATGGAGCTGTTCCTCAGGAGAACGGAATTAAGAAGCGCAGGTCTGGCCAGATTCCAGTGCCGTGACCCATACACTTCTTATTATGCTCTCTCTCTCTCTCTCTCTCTCTCTCTCTCTTGTTTTCATCTAATGTTTACAGTTCATTCTCGTTCATGTATAATCTTAACATCTGTGCATAGTTCTACTGTCAAACATATCAGTACACTTATGAGAGTGTGTCCATGTTTATGAATTAGAATTCTTCTGCTCTTTTAGGTCGTCTCTTCCTGCCCCTATGTTCTCCAGAAATGATTTTAGTGTTTGGAGCATTCTCAAGAAATGTATTGGACTGGTAAGGATAAAAAATTAATCATTCTTGTAGTAGCAAGTTCAGCATATATTAATTATGAGTGCTTTAAGAATGGATGGTCTGATTAATGTCTATTAGTGAGGTTATGTACTTGGTCACCATGAAATAAAAAAATGGACAATTCCTATTTTTTTATGGAATATTGCAAGGGGCATTATAATTGATTGACCGTGAATCTCAATATTGTTTTTATATATTTATTACAATCTAACTATATTTATTTTATATATTACACGTCACCACCGCTTGGAAAGGGCAAATAGTGATCCCTCGCCTCCAGCTCACATGAGTTTGCAGCAGTTGGCAACAATGATCCAATCAAGGACAAAATCAAGTCCTGTTTATTTTTTACTCTTATATAGATCACGCAATAGGGAAGAAAAGTCCATTGAATTTTTCATGTCATGCCAACTTTTTTTTTTTTATTAACTTCTCGAAGAGTGTTAAATGGTATAGCGCGAAAATAGGTATCGCGATATATAGTTAGCGTGAGTTCTTTTGACCACGCTAATCGTGTAGTAAAAAGTTTGATATTGTGACAGCCCTAAAAAAAAATCCATCACTTTCAGCAATAAATTAAGAAAATTACAGTCAAAACAAAAATATTTCAATGCTTGGTTTATGTATATGCAGTCACATCTCACTGTTATTATGATGACGTGAAGTTGACTGTTTAACGTTTAAAAAAAACTCAAATCATTCTTTTCTATTGATTTTCACTCCATCCAGCTCTTTTTGAATGCAAGAATGTCCTTAAAGGATTAGTTCACTTTAAAAAAAAACTTACTGATAATTTACTCACCCCCATGTCATCCAGGATATCCATGTCTTTCATTCTTCAGTCGAAAAGAAATTAAGGTGTTTGATGAAAACTTTCCAGGATTTTTCTCCATGTAATGGACTTCAGTGGGAACCAAACAGTTCAAGGTTCAAAAGAGTTTCATAGCAAACTGCAAACTGTTCAAAGGGATTTAAACGATTCCAGACGATGAATAAGGGTCTTATCAAGCAAAACGATCGCTCATTTAAAAAAAAAAAATAACAAAGTTTAAGTTTTATAAGCTCAAATGCTCGCCTTGCTCTGTTCTGTGACGCACGTTTGACTCTCCTGTTCGAACTCGTTCATCAAAATTAACAAATCTTTTCCCGAGTCAATTCGTACATTTCGTTCGTTAAATGTCATTTTGATGAACGAGTTCAAACAGGAGAGTCACGAACGCGCATCTCAGAACAGAGCAAGGTGACCATTTGAGCTTATAAAACAAACTTTTTTTTGTTTTGTTTTTTTTTACGATTTTTTTTAGCGTTTCGCTTGATAAGACCCTTATTCACTGTCTGGAATCGTCTAAAGCCCTTTGAACAGTTTGCACTAAAACTGTCTTTTGGACCTTGAACTGTTTGGTTCCCAATGAAGTCCATTATATGGAGAAAAATCCTGGAATGTTTTCATCAAAAACCTTAATTTCTTTTCGAATGAACTGAAGAAAGAAAGACATGGAGGTCTTGGATTACATGGGGGTGAGTAAATTATCAGCAGAAGTTTTTTTAAAAGTGAACTACACCTTTAAGAAACACGCCCGATCGCTGTCTAATGGACATACTGTAACCCTAAAGCAGCGTTCCTCAAGGGCGACTAGTCAACCAGTTTGAAAATGTGTTGTTTGGCACAACCTGTAAAGGGTTTGATCCTGCTCAGCCTGTTTGATTGTGCTGTATTGCAGGAGCTGTCAAAGATCACCATGCCCATTGTGTTCAATGAGCCCCTGAGCTTTCTGCAGAGAATCTCTGAGTATATGGAGCACACATACCTCATCCACAAAGCCTGCTCACAGAACGACTCTATAGAGAGGATGCAGGTGAGACAAAATAACCGTACAAAATTCATACACTACATGGTTGAGTAGATATTAATGTAAAGTGCAACTCAAGTCTATGCAGGACAGTTTTGTAATATCGCAATCCGGCCTTTAATTGGACATGTTTTTTTCTGTCTTGCTCCTAAGACGGTAGCTGCCTTCGCTGTGTCTGCAGTCGCTTCTCAGTGGGATAGAACTGGAAAACCTTTCAACCCGCTTTTAGGAGAAACCTACGAACTCGTACGGTAAAGAGACCTGCAGAGCGTTTCATTACAAACTATGCTGATAAGATTTGAGGATGTCGATAAACACTGGTTAGATCAAGATTGCTCTAAAGGGAAACTGTTCTTTGTCATTTATGTAACTCTGCTTCTTCTTCCCCTTTAATTCTTCCTTCCTCTACCCTTGTTGACTTCTCTTTCACTCAGAGAGGATCAGGGTTTCAGACTGATCTCAGAGCAGGTGAGTCACCATCCGCCCATCAGTGCGTTTCACACTGAGAGTCTGACGGGCGACTTTGTGTTCCACGGCTCCATCTACCCCAAACTCAAGTTCTGGGGCAAAAGTGTGGAGGCAGAACCTAAAGGGACCATCACGCTAGAGCTTCACAAGTGAGTGTGCCATGTTTATGTGCACACACATGTATACACCCTGATATACAGTATATATAAATAAATGTGTGCACATCAACTGCTATTTTTGTGTTCATGAAAAGCTCTATTGATTGTATGAGTGAGATTTTCCTAGGATGAGTCAGTGGTATCCTGGTTTGATTTGAGAGCAAAGAGTTCTTGGGTTGCTGAGTAACGGCCTGCTCACTATGTGTGTGTGTATCCTCACAGGCATAAAGAGGCATACACATGGACGAACCCTTTTTGCTGTGTACATAATGTAATTATCGGTAAACTGTGGATTGAACAGTACGGCAATGTGGAAATCGTCAACCACAGGTAAAGTTTTTATGACTTGTCTATTCTGTTGTGAATTGACATGGATTTTTTGAATGATTAGTGTGATGTGTGATTGCTTAGTACTGGAGAGAAGTGCGTGCTGAACTTTAAACCCTGTGGGATGTTTGGAAAGGAGCTGCACAGAGTTGAAGGTTACATCCAGGATAAGAGGTGAGATACTGACTCACACTTTTCACATTTTACTGGACTTCATCTCTAACCATGAACCGTTTAAATTATGTAGATCATGTTTAACGAAAGACCCTGCCCAACTTTTGTAGCTATAGTTATTTTAAATGTGCTTATACTAACACCTAGCAGCAGGGATAAAGCCTCACACAAAAGAGCAAACATTTTCAGTTTTCAGTTCCATTGAAATCCACTATTTGCAATCAGTTACTATTGATTTATTCTGTGAGTGAGAAGCGGGTTACTTAAGGGGCTTTCTCACCAGGTAGTTATAGGAACTAGCCGAGTTCCCCCGAGAACTACATTTCCCCCCTGGGCCATTTTCCTGGCTGCATTCGCACCGCACAGTAATGTAAGGGCAGGTGCAAAAAACTGGAGGATTTATATGTATAATTATGGGATCGAAAAAAACAAACAAAAAGGAGGGCTAAGAGTAGGTTTGCCAATTGTTGCGTATTAGCCGGAACTTCCCGTGTATTGGGCCTAATTGATTTGTCCCATACGTGATCTCCTTTTTTTCCCATTTATATGCTGATTTCACACAGCCGCCATTTTGAAATGGCTCCGGGGGGAAGAAACAATACATGATGTATTTGAAATGACTCCGTGTTGTTGTGTTTGATGTAGAAATTAGGTATTCTAAAAATGTACATACATTTCGTTCATACTTTAGACTATATACAGTGAAATTCATTTACAAATATATATATATATATTCAGAACGTAAAAAAAGAAGCAGGAACGAACTTTTGACATATCCTATATTGGATATTAACATCCAATAGTGTAAATCGCGGCAGTAGCTTCAGGTTGGTTGTCCAAAGCATTGTTGTTTATCTGTACTTCCGGGGTTCTTCCCACCGGAGCCTCACTTTCGATTTCAAAATGGCGGCTGCGTGAAATCAGCTTATTGACTGTTAATTGAACGCACCCTTGCTGAATAAAAGTACGCTATTACTCTCTTTTAATTTCTTTCCTTTCTTACTGACCCCCAACTTTTGAACTGTAGTCTATAATGTTACAAAAGCTTTTTATTTCAGATAAATGCTGTTATTTTGAATGATGGTTTTGTGTAATGTCATTTGTTTTGTATGACATTTAATTTAATTGTACATAAATAGGTCCTAGAACATACTTAACTGCATGACCTACACTGTGGTACAGTACAAATATTTTGAGTGCCCCTTATATTCCTATAAAGAACCTCGATTGTCCCGTATTTTCCTTTTCTGAAGTTAACAACCCTAAGAGACTAAAAATCTCCTACGATAACTTGCAATTCTGCATATCATCAAGGCTGAGAAAAGAACAAACGCCACAGACAAAGGCGAGAGGTAAATGCTATTTATCGCTGTTTTCCATATTCGTGGAATTAGCTGCTGGAGTTATGGTGTGTTCTATTATAGCCAACGAACCGACTCGGACCTCGGATATGACGTCACGTCCACGTATTATGTTTTGCGCGAAAATGGACGCCACCCGGAAAGCTGTTGTAATGGTGGCACTGGCCGAGTTAACATTACACCTACACCTTATCAAAACGCAGCCATTTGAACTTGAAAATGTTCACTTTATTTAATGTTTTTCATGTTAATCTTCTGTTAGCAACGTTAGTAATTGCACTCACAACAACCGATTCCCATACCTACAGGGGACGCAGTAATACGAGTGATTATAACCGTCATTTAAAGTTCCAAAGCGGTTCAAAAACAATGAAAAAAATTCATACTTACAAGCCACACAGGGCGCAGCCATCTTGAATTCCGAAACAGAATACTTGCTCGGTGTCCTCCTCATAGTTGTCCGACGTCCGAGAGGAGAAATCCGAGGGCGTGGTGCTAGGCAACATCTGTCTTCCGAATCGGATCTCCGAGACGGATAAAAAATAGAACGCACCATTAGTGTATTTAAACTGTGTTTACACAGCTTTTTAAAAATGACAGGTGCCGGTGTTTCACAAGCGTCCGGCCAATCAGTGTACACTTACGTCACTGGTAGTTCCTATTGTGCTGAGTTAGACTCTACTCTGAAAGTAGGAGCTAATTTAGTTTCCCTAAATGCCTTATGCCTAGTTCACACTACATGATTTTAAAATGTCGGGCTGAATTGTGCAGTTCACGCTACATGACTTGCTCTCAGTGAAATCATGAGTGTTCAAGTTGTTTAGCTGTTCACACCACACAACACAATGTGATTGATCCACAACAGGAGGTAACTCACTACACGAGTTAACAACGCACTACATAGAGATACAACCACGATCGGATGATAAGAGCATATCATTTGTGACTCAATGAGAGCTGTTTCAGTACTATAGTACGGTCTAAATCCTGAAAATAATCAAACAAATAACGAGTTGACAACAACACGATTCTATCTGGTCTAGAAACCATGTTTTGTAACGAAAAACCACGCAATAAAACGAACCAGAAATGACGCGAAACTGCAGAGAAGAACACAACACGCGAATATGAACGTCAGGCAGAAACTAGTGCTGCACACTGTTTGCTCGACGATCTGCTCTGAGAAAAAAAAATGCAAAAAAGAAAAAGTAAGATTTACCTGGTGTCCTCAACCCATGCGTTGCTATGATTGGCTGTACTCATGACATCACTGAGATTGAGTCGCGCGACTGCTCGAGATATCTAGCATGCTAGATATTTTTCTGAGCTCGGTGACCTGTCTGCGAGGTGTCTGCGAGCTGTCTTTGATGCGTTGTTGGCTCTTTCACACTAACGGATTGGCGAGCGTTAATCGTCCGCTAATCGCACGCGATAACACCCTGACTTGTCGGCGACTCAACGATTTGCAAATCGGGCTTAAATCGGGCTTAAAATCACGTAGTGTGAACTAGGCTTTAGTTTCCCTAAAAAAGGCCTTTCTACAACTAAAATCATTGACAGTTCTTGCGGCGCAAACACACCAAAAATGCGCACTTCTGCCTGTAGTTATAGGAACCAAGGAAATGTTACTCCAGTGCGAAAGCTCCTTTTGAAGTGGCATTTATCTGATCAAATGAGGTGATTCGTTTCAGGTTCAATTTTTTAGTAGGTTACTGACATGATTGGAGTCATATAAGTATTAATTTCTTTGTGTAAAATAGTTTTCAATGAGATAAGCAATGATGCCATTTAAAGATTAAAAGCAGTTAGACCTCTTTGACACCCATGACATTTGGAATGAAGTTAATAATTATGGAGCGATTTAAATCTCTGGAGGTGCCAGGTCACTGTACTGTTGGTTGTAGTTGCAGCAAGAGCTCGATCACTGTCCCGTTGGCAGTCATCGCTTTGCATCACTGCTCATTTGCATAATGTTGAACTTTGATTTCTGGTTAAAAATGAAAGGTTTCCTTTTTTTCCCCTGTTGATGCAAATTGCTTTCTGCGTGAATGGCCATCTATATGGCTGATGTAGACATAATTGACAGCAGCAAGGCTGTGAGGGATAGACATGCATCTCTTCAGTGGGTTGTACTGTTATTTAATGTGTTTTTGTTTTGCTTTTTTCTGCTGACAAAACACTGCAAAAATATCTTTCCAAGAAATTTCCGTAGACAAACAACTTCAGACAACATGAGCTGTGGAAAATGAGTGATCTAGGAGCTTTATACAGCGGCTGCCATTGAAAACACCGCAAGTCTATCTCTCGCAGCCTCGCTTTCATAGCAGTCATGATGATCTATGACTTTCTGGAAAAAACATTCTGAGACAATTGCTAGATGTAATACACATGAAAGGAATATTGGTTCTTTTTCATGATGTATTGTAAACCCAAATCTGCTTCAGCAATCGTAAAGATTAAGCTGACTCAGTTTACTTAGTTTAATCTTTACAATTGCTGAAGCAGATTTGGGTTTACAATATATCATGAAAAAAAAAAACAATATTCCTAGTATAGTATTGAAAAATATTTTTCAAGATCAGCTTTCTTTTATTTTACAGTGCTACGTACCTCAAATCGTTTTTCTCCTCTACATGTACTTTGCTTGCAGTAAGAAGAAGCGCTGTGTGATTTATGGGAAATGGACGGAGTGTATGTGGAGCGTCGACCCACATGTGTACGAGGCCCATCGGAAGCTCGAGAAGAAAGGAGCGACGGACACTAAAAAACAGAAACAGGTGTGAAAGATATTAGCAAGGCTAACCTCTCATTCTGCTTTAACCCCTGATTGCTCACTTATCTTTTATTTACTTTTATACATGGAAGCAGCTCTCCTCTCTGTGTTCATGTCAAGGTAACAGATGTAGACTAGTGTCAGTAGTGTCAGAGATCGACTAGTGATTCGGGCACATGTAAAGAATAATGGAGTTGTTTTAGGGTTACAGAACTGTTTGCATTGGTAGGTGTGTAGTTTAAATAGGTGCTAATTTATGTACAGAAGAGCGGTGTGTAGGTGTAGAGAGAGCCGGTGTGTTAAAATACTCATCATGCCTCAGACCTTTGACTCTGTTCAGCTTTTTGTCAGTTCCTTTTGGTCCCATTGTGCAACAACACACCCAGTTTATGGCTGTGTTTGACAGATGTCTGAGTGTGGGAGATTAAAGGGATAGTTCACCCTAAATTAAAAATTGTCACAATCAACCTCATGTCGTTCTAAACTTGTACGACTTTCTCTTCTCTGTGGAACACAAAAGGAAATATTTTGAGAAATGTATACGTTGTTCTTTTTCTTTTTTGTCCAATGGAAGTCACTGGTGGTCACTGACACCAACACTGTTTGGTTAACAACATTCTTCAAGCTATCTTCTCTTGTGTTCTGCAAAAGAAAGTAAGTCATACAGGTTTGAAAAAAGACAAGTAAATGATGAAACTTGTGTCCGAAATTTTTGCACGTTACCCCTGGGCTTCTTCGTCCGAAAATGACCAAAAACGTTTACGTTTTGAATTGTTTTATTATTTTGCTTCATCGGATGGGGGTGAAACTTGGTGACTTTTGTTGTATTACCTATATGAACACACAAAGAGATGACTCTGATTTGTTAAAGAGTCGTAAAAAAAAGTCACACACACGCTTCCTCCCGGTCAAAATTGACCGACATAGGAAATAAATGGGAAATACGAGTTTGATTGTAATACTAATCATAATGCAAAACCTGATACTTATCTAAACATTTTTGTTAAAAATTAAGTAGTTGTCTTTTCGAATATCTAAATGTATATCTAAATAAAAAAAAGAATAAGATAGAGAAATCATGTCTAAAACAACAAAAGGAATCAAAAAAGCCTTTTTATGTATTTATATAGGTGCTATAGGCAGCCTACAGGCTGGTACAGGACATTGCACACATGTAACTATTTTTAAAGCCACTAGATGGCGCACTTCTACTTGAACATTTGTTTTTATTAAGCTTGCACTCTATTTTGATGTGAAAATATAAATATAAATTATAAATTTGAAAAAAATAAAATAAAATAAAAAAAATATATTAATTCTAATGGAAAAAATAGCTCATAAAAATTATAGAATTAATGCAAAGCATCATTAAAAAACTCTAAAAATTCTAAATAATAATCAGAAAATATTATAGAACAAAAATATATTTGAATGGTTATCCTAGGAAAAAGTAAAGTTAAATTTTAAGGCTTCATCCATTTACAAAGAAGCCCAGAGGGTTAAAAACTAAATTCAACCTCACGTTATGTCGCACTGCCCCCCACAACTTTCGTCTGTCATAAAAAAAATCAAATCGGGTTCGATTTTCTGCATTTTTCGCATTCGTAGCAAGCAGTTTGAATGGAGTTTTGATGATTCAGAGCCACCAAATCATGAATACGAAAAAAAGAATACAAAACTTTCAGACTCACTGTGCAATGGCCTCTAAGCTTTTGAAGACATTTATTTTAAAGAAAGAAAGCCCAAGCTCCCTTTTCAAGCCAAACATTTCACAAAAAATAACCATTTCGATTTAAATGGTAAAACAATACATATACTGGAGATGCCACTTGTGCTTTGATATCTTATCTCTAATGCAGTGAAATTCATACATTAAATGTGACTAAATGGTTTTTGGGGTTCCACTGTATGCGTTTCTGCTTTTCCTGTCTGTGTTGAATCAGCGTGAAAAAGGTTATTGTCTTGTCTGAGAGATTTAAATAAGCGTGTGCACCAACAGGAGGAGCCAGAAGCTGTCAACGAGGATGAAGATGAAATGCCTGATGTACAAGAAACTGTGGCTGTGGTTCCTGGTAGCACGTTATTATGGAGAATATCATCTAGACCTTCTCATTCGGCAGAGGTACATGCTGTTATTTTCAAGAAGGCACACGCACGTCAATGCCTGAAAAAAAAAAGTTACACCAACTAATGATTTCTTAAAAGGTGAACTTCTTTAAAACAAATATTATTACAAATGAAAATAACTATTTTCTCTTTTATTATATTTTAAAATGTAATTTATTCCAGTGATCAAACCTGAATTTTCAGCATGATTACTCTTCAGTCTTTACTGTCACATGATCCTTCAGAAATCATTCTAATATGATGATTTGCTGCTCAAACATTTATTATTATCAATGTTGTGAAAAAAAGCCGTTGTGATCTAAATCTTTAAAATGGTTTACTGTCACTTTTGATCAATTGAATACATCCTTGCTGAATTCCTTTATAAAACAAAACAAACTGCCAATTTAATGATTGGTTTACTTGATTTGAAACCCCTCTGTTCACTTCTAGATGTATAACTTCACTAACTTTGCCATGACACTGAATGAGCTGGAGCCTGGCATGGAAGGAGTGCTGGGACCAACAGACTGCCGCCTACGGCCTGACATCAGAGCCATGGAGAACGGCAACATGGGTAATAAAAAATGTTTTGGTTTTCTTTTCAACAGCCCTACAGCGCCTCCTGCTGTTCATACATGCAAAAGACTAACAAATTAATAATTAATTGGGGTGGTGAAGATGGGGCAGTGGATAAGACACATAAGGCCTTTGGTGTGAGAGACCCACTGTGAGACACCAATGTCGTGCGACCTCTGACATATATAGACACTTTGGATAAAAGCGTCAGCTAAATGAATAAATATGAATGTAACATAAAGCTTTCGTGTGTTTGTGCAGATGAAGCCAGCAGAGAAAAGGAGAGACTGGAGGAGAAACAGAGAGCAGCTCGTAAGGAGCGGGCCAAAGATGGCGAAGAGTGGTCCACAAGGTTAGTACTACTAACACTTTCCTGCTTTTTCTATGTGTGTGCCATATCTTAACCTCTCTGACCGTTTTAGGTGGTTTCAGTCGGGCACAAACCCATACACAGGATCACAGGACTGGCTCTACACTGGCGGCTACTTTGATAGGAAATACACAGACTGTCCTGACATCTACTGATGAGGAGGTGCAAGTTTCATCACCTCCTTCCTCACCATGCACCATATTGTACCCAACCGAAAACAATAGCACTTATGCTCACATTAATATCGTGCGGCCACCATCTTCAGCACTTGCGTTTATGATCAAGCTTTTTGAATTCATCAGCCCTGTAGGTTTTATCAATGGAGGAGAGTTTCGAAACAGCAGTGAACGTTCAAGCCTCATCAGAGCTCCAGCTGGGTCACCGTCAGTGAGTCCGGAGCTCGATGTAGACGTAGTTACATCACATGAAGTCACTGCTAAAATGTTTCTTTGGCCACTTTCCATGTACAGTAGGCGTTTAACAAACTAATTCCAGATGTTTTGAGTTGGGCTAGCACTGAGCCACCTAAGACCTCGGATCCAGAGCGTGAATGTGATCAAGCATTAATTCAAAAGTACAACACTTAGAGTGTTTAGTGAATGATGATGAATGTTATTATTAATGAACTCTGTGTGTGTGTGCGTGTGTGTGTGTGTGTGTGTGTGTGTGTGTGTGTGTGTGTGCGTGTGGCAATTATGTAAAAAGTAATCGTTTTTTTGTTTTTGTTTTAATTGGTACAATATTTTGCCCTTCGGATTTGGTTTCAGATTAAACTTTACGCAAAATGTCCTCACCATGCGTTCAATATGGTGATGTGTTTTAAAAAAAAGCATCAAAAGCTCTTTTTTGTTCACTTTGTGGTTCCCGCAGAGACTCATGGGATGTAAAATAGGCTGATTGTACTGAGTTTAATGTTTAATAAGTTACAACTAGCTCTGTTGACATTTATAAAAGCACAATTTTCATATTCCACATTTTTTATGAGGTATCGGTGTCACACTAAATTGTTCGAGCACTATCCGTTGAATTTAGGAAAAGTAGGGTTTCGTGGGTTGGTTTATCCATCAGCATTTGCATTTGTTATCGCTGCTCTCAAACACAGACATGTACATTGTGTATTTAAGAAAACGGACTAAATCTATGCAACCCATCAAACTGCTCAAACACCCCATGTCTTGATGAACGTATGGAACGGCAGCTTAAATAACATGCATCTCAATTTAAGAGTATATTTCCTGCCTATAAATGCCATAAAGTATTTTACGATCTATTCATTCTCATTCAGACTGCTTCCTTTCATTTAGAGATGATCTGAAGTCAAGTAAGCGGGTTTGAAGCACAGTGATGCGACAGTTGCTGCTCTTTTCATGTACACACACACACACACACACACGTTTAGTTTCCCACAGTGCCTGACTTTGAATGGATCTGTTAGTCACTAATGCTTAACCTCAAGCGGTTTGTTCCTGCGCACCTTTCCCCTCGTCTAAGCACTAAACGTCAACAGGAATGTCGAAATTTGTTAGATACACGCTCGACTTTCAGTACACTACTTGTTTTGCATCCTTTATTGTTGTCTGTTGCTTCATTAAATGTACATTTGATCATTTGAAAACTAGCGTGCGTTATGAGACTAATATTACACAATTAAACTGTAGATTTCATTTTTTTTATGTGACGTTGTGTGAGTTCATTGTGTAAGTGGAATGATTAAGCGTCCCTCTTGTCGTATTTTCAATGTACGGATGTCTGTATGTTCCAAGATGTTGCACATAGATTTCTAGCAATCATAAGCACATGGCTCTTATTTTGTGCAATGATTTATTTTTATAGTATTTAATTGTTTTTGTTAAAAGGTGTCAAAGGGTATTTTACTGTGAGATGAGGCTTGTACTTCATTTGTGAACAGTTTGCTTTGGAATTAAATGGGGATGTCATTCTGGTGAGAACAAATTCTACTAACTGAAATTTTAGTTTGAAAATGTTGATTCTTTTGGAATAAAAACATGACATTGATAAAGCTCTCTCTGTTTCTTTCCTTTGAATTGTGGAAATCTGCATTACTGCCTTTTTTTGTGCCCATGTGGTAGGGAGAAATATTCATTTCTGTATGATCGTTTTATAGATTATGTGGCAATAAGGAGAATAAACACTTTTTTTGCCCACAGTTGTAAAGGAAATTTTAAATTACAAAATATATAAGTACATTAACATTCAGTAACATAATAAACTCAAAAAATGAAGCTGAATTGTTCCTTGTGTTGTCTTCATTTAAACACTTTGATACAAAATCCGTGAGCTTCTTCGAAACACGACTGAAAAATCATGCAGGAGTTGTGTGGAGTTTGACAGTTTGTGTGTTCATTCAGTAACAACCAACTTTCTAATTAATGAGGAGTTCTAGCACACACACACACACACACGTGTGTAAATAATATGGGAGTTTGTTTTCAAATGGGTTCAGGGACACACTGAGGTTTATGGTTTCAATCTGCTTAGACTGTCTAAAGCTGGAAAACAATAGATATTGCAATTATTCTACTTGCACAGTAAAAAAACGTTGGGTTATTTTTTTTTAACCAAAGGAAGATTTTTTTTTTTAAATAATGTCAAAAATGAAAATAAATAGTTAACTCAACTGTTTGCTAACTTTTATCCAAATGCATTGTTTTAAAATAACCCACATTTCGGAAGGTGGTATAGGAGTAAGGAGTAAAGGAGTAAGGTAACACAAAACAAATGTGTTCTTTAAATAAATGCACAACAAATTAAGCTGTCATTTATGTGTATTCAATAAAGTCAAAGGGTAATCTAATATTGTGTTCTAAGTTTAAATATTAGAAAGATAAATACATTTTAAGACATTTTGCCATTCCAAAAGTGGACATTTCTGTAGAGACTGACCCATTTAGTTTTAGTTATTTAGGCCTAGGCAACTTCAATTTAAAGTAAAAGAAAATGAAAAAGGTTGCCAAATGAAGTAAACAAGCCTAGCTGTTTTTATAGCCTTTTTATTTTTATTTCAGAAATTTTCAGTTAACGCTTATAGTTTTATTTAACGACAAAAAAAAAAAAAAAAGAGCCATCTGCTCTCAGTGACACAGCATTTGCTGCATGCACAGAATGACAAGTTATTCAGCCAATCAAATGCTGACTTTCGTGTGCACGTGGCCAATAGCAACACACGGCTAGCAGGATACATGGCTCTGGGATACAGGAAGTCGCTTGCCACTGTTCTCACTAACTTAGCCCATCATCTGCAACTCTTCAGCGAGTGTACCTCAAGACATATCTCTGCTGCAGGAATCCACGAAAGACTAAACGTATCCACTGGTATGGTGCACTTTTATTACAATGCGCTCTTATCTGACCTGTAGCGGCGTGTTTCGTTTAAAAACGCGTCAGAAACAAAATGCGCAGTCACTGTTGTTGAGACATGACAGCTAATGCTAACAGTGTAGTTTCAGAAGCCAAACAATGAAAAGATGGTTAGGTCTTGTGGTGCTATATTATATCTTAAGATATATATTGTTAAACTTATATTGATTTATATTTGTACAAATTCTACGTTAGCTATTTGCCGTTTTTTTTAAGCTGGCTAGAAGAATGCTAATCAATCTTGCTGAGTAACTGATCACACCTTAAGCTTCAACGTGCTAAAGATGACCACCGATATCTTTAATAAAACCTTATGGTATGCATTCAGAATGCTGTTGGTTTGTTTGACGTGTCTATACTGGTTTGTATTGTCTGTCCATCAGTGAAGAAGGATGTCGTCTGGAGCTCTGTTCCCCAGCCTGGTCTCTGGCTCCCGCAGCTCGTCCAGTAAATATCTGGTTGAGTTCCGGGCTGGTAAAATGAGCCTGAAGGGCAGCACTGTGACCCCGGACAAACGCAAGGGTTCCGTGTACATCCAGCAGACAGACGACTCGCTCATCCACTTCTGCTGGAAGGACAGGACCTCTGGGAATGTGGAGGATGTGAGGACTGTTCACTGTTAGTGGTCAAGCCGGTGGTGTTTTACGTCGATATCATTGTTTTGATTTTGTATTTCAGGATCTGATAATATTCCCAGATGACTGTGAGTTCAAGCGGGTCAGTCAGTGCACGACAGGACGCGTGTATGTGCTGAAGTTCAAGGCTGGCTCTAAAAGGCTGTTCTTTTGGATGCAGGTGAGGAGTTCTCCCCTGATATTTCGCCATGGCCCATATTGGTATTTTTATTAATTGCCCAGTTTACCCGACGGTTTGGGTTATTCTTTTCTTCCTTGTGACGTATATAGTGAAACGGCTTCTTGTATAAGAAAAAAATAGTGTGGGACTTGAAAATTATTTGGATGGTTGTGGTTTGACCGCTTGTCCTGCCAGTAAACACATCATCAGAGAAGAGATTTTCAATAAAAATATGATTCCCTGTGTGCACAAACAAACATAACTTTTTACTGGTTTATGTCATTTGTTAATTTGTGAAAAATCCCACAATAGGATAGTAGAATCAAGAAGATTTCTGATATCAGCTGTCGGGTCACATTTGTTCTTGCTGTCCCATCTCTCTTGTGTGAAGGAGCCCAAAACAGATAAAGATGAGGAGTACTGTCGCAAAGTCAACGAGTACCTGAACAACCCCCCCATGCCAGGCGCTCTGGGCAGCGGAGGAGGTGGTGGACATGAACTCTCTGCACTTGGTGGTGAGTGATAGAAGACAGGACACTCATCTCACTTTGACTTTGGGCATGTCCCAATACTTGGCCACTTGAGAGTGCACATAGTTGAATCAGGAATGCAAAGTTGTCACCGTTTTGAGTCCACAATTGGTCATTTGTTTGATTCGATTTGTTGTAGATTCAATTCATTTTTGAAATTATTGCTTGCAGACTTTAAATAGTTCAAAAAATGTTATCCTTGGACTTTTTATTTTTATTTATGATGAGTTTCCTTCCCTGGTAAGTGCGCTAGACCAGTGGTTCCCAATCCTGGTCCTGGAGAACCCCCAGCATTGCACTCATTTGATGGCCCTTATCTAACAGATAGTTTTAGCTAAGAAATTGAGAAGTTGAATCAGGTGTGTTTAATTAAAGAGACATCTAAAATGTGTAGTGCTCCTCCAGGGAACCACTGTTTCAGGGGCCGTTTTCACCACACCGCTTTCAACTGAAAACGAAAAACTCTTTATGCGTACTATCCGTTTACTTGCATGACAACGGCAAAAATTAGAATTTTAGTTTCAAAGTGCTTTTTTTTTTTAAACTAGCTATACCATTATCATATCTGTGTATACTATAAAAAAAAAAAAGCGCATTTGTGATGTCATGTGTATTACGTCTATAGGCGTGTAGTGTAGATATTACATATAATTTACATAAAAAGAACTGATTTTTACACTTTAATGATCAGCACCACGTTCAATAATGTTGTCTGTTACATAAGGTCTACTGAACAGACAAGTTTATTTTAAAGTGCAAAGTGTTGATGATTTAAATGTGTAAAATCAAAAGTTACATGCACACTTGTAGCTCCTGTGTAGGTTCTGGGACAGGCTCTTTGGCAACAAGAGTACTAAGGGAATTTCCCTTTTTTAAATATCCTTTTCTTTAAGGAGAAGGTGGCTTGCAAAGCCTCCTGGGAAATATGAGCCACAACCAACTCATGCAGCTGATTGGACCAACAGGACTGGGTGGACTTGGTGAGTTTTTTTTTGTTTTTTTTTTTAAGCAAGATTCATGATTGCAATATGGCCCAGATGTAAGCTGTTTTTTTTTTTTTTTTTTTTCAAAGGTGCTCTGGCTGGTCCAGGTCTGGCCAGTTTGTTGGGCAGTGGAGGTCCTGCTACCAGTAGCTCAACCTCGAGGTATGTCTGTTGATTTCTCCAATGCTTATTTTTACTGCGGATTGTTCTCGTACCTAATGGCTTCCATGCCTCATGCACAGCTCCCGCAGCCAATCGGCAGCCGCCACTCCCTCCTCTGGATCCACCGCACGCCTCAGCTCCACCCAGGCGCCCACCACACCCGTAACCCCTGCTGCGACCTCCACCGGCTCACCCACGGTGACCCCCACCACCCCTGCAGCCCAGACCCCCTCCATACCTGCAGCAGGACCCCCGTCCAGCACACAGCCCATCCAGCTGAGTGACCTCCAGAGCATCCTGGCCACCATGAACGTTCCCGCCATGGCCGCAGAGGGAGCGGGAGGTGAGAATCTGACAACCGATATGATCTTCACTTCACTTTTTTCTTTCCTCTAAAATCTTGCCCATCGCTGTCTCCGTAGTGGACCTGGCCAGTGTGTTGACCCCTGATGTCATGGCTCCTATTCTGGCGAACCCTGAAGTGCAGCAGAGACTGCTTCCGTACCTGCCATCAGGAGAATCCCTCCCACAGAGCGCCGACGAGATCCAGAACACACTGACCTCTCCACAGTTCCAGCAGGTCAGCCGTGCTCATAATGCTTTCAATTTATACAAGTATTGATAAGAGATGCACATATAATGTTATTGACCTCAGCTGAGACACTTCAGATGTGTACTGTTCGCCATGATGGTTTTGAATTGCTCGAAATATGTTGGAAACCACTTTAAAAAAGGACAATACAGTAAAGTGCAACACAAGTCTGTCTTATAGGCATACATAATATAATAATAACGTCATTATAATTGTGTGCTTGAGGCATGGATTTTAATGGTCAGACTTTTGTTTTTGTAATCAGGCTTTCAGAAGTTATATAAAAATGTGGATTTAGGTAAAGCTAATATATTGGTTATTGTCTTTCAAATATAAAAAATTAATGGTTATTGGCCAATTTTTATATTGGTACATCTCTATTATAGATGATAACTGTGGTATTTCAAAAAAAGAAGTATTCAGTGTAAGCCTGGATGCCAGATGAGCTTAGCCCCCCCCACAACATTTGAGGTCGGAAAGTTCAGTCTGGACTTGATCCGCTGAGAAGCAAGTTTGCCGAACCAAAGCTGTTCGGAACAATCAAATTGTCAGGATGGGCTTTATATACGATGATGGATAGATGATGAATTGTAACGTAATCATTCACATCACCAAAGAGCGCTTGTGTTGAATTTGTTTACAACTAAGAATGGCTGCCACTGGAGAATTTAGATGTGTAGATTCCGCCATCGTGTCTGTTATAGAAGATCTAGACAGCGCATTCATTTTAAAAGACGAACAGAGAACCGCGATCAAGGCATTTGTTGATTGGAAAGATGAATGAAGAACATGCGTTGTAGGTCTATCCAATGAGTAGGTCTATCGAGTGCAGAGGCATTTTCTTTCCACAGCCCAGTGGAGCAGAATCAGACTCGCATTCTGACAGGAAGGTCAGGCTAATTCAGTGTTGCTCATAACCAAAATTTAAGTTTTAGTTTTCATTTAGCCCAAAAATGTATTTAATCAACACTTTTTAATGATATTGTTATAGAATATATAGAATTTTCTACTCCAATTCATTGTTGAAATATACATAGACATTTTAAAAACATTGGCTGTAAATATAACTTGTTTTCATGACCGATTTTATATCTCATGTATGTTATAATTCATGACATTATAACATGCACATAATAATGAAGTTTTATTTACATCTTTCCGCGGTTTAAATACTAAGCGATTACATGAGACATTATGCATTTCACTAAGTTGTACTGTTTTATACTTCCTGATGTTTATTTAATGCTATAATTGGTAGTAAAGAGAATGTATCCTGCTGTGATTTAAACACCCCGAGTG